GGCAGGGCCACGTGGGTGACCCCAGCCGGACCTGCCAGGGCCCCAGGTGGACGCTTATCCCCGCTGACTCAGCTCGGCCTTCTCCCCGTCCTCAGAGCCCTCCCCCCGGGCTGTCCCCCGACACTGGGCACGGCCCCTATAGCAGTAACCAGTTGTGAAGGACTTCCCGCCACTCCCAGCTGACAAACAGCAGACAGAGCCACTTCGTGTCCAGGGACAAGACAGAACAGCTTCTCCTGTATAGAAAGCATTCTTTGAAAACAGGGGCAAAGTGCCGTGGTGCCCAACCTCAAGGACAGAGCAGGAGCTCACTAAACGTGCCAGCTGGTCCCTGAGAGGATTCCTAGGAACCAGGAGAGGACTCAAGACGACTCTGATGGCAACAGCGCCCTCTGCTGACTCCTCATTGTGGAACCACATGGGCAGAAAAACGCACCTGCGTCTTTGGTCACGTCTTCTGAGGGTGAACATTTATTTTCTCATGGCGGAGACGGCAGACAAAGGTGAACTGTCCCCATCTCGGTGTCCGGTACCCTGCATTTTATGTAGCTAGTGCCCAGTATGTGGCTACCACGGCTAACCTGCGTGGGCCTTGTCAGCATTAACAGAAAACTGGCTCAGAGGCGGCTTCAGCAGGTGGGCAGAGGAGGGCCCCACCTGGCCACTGGTCCGGTGCCAGCATCCAGCCAGACAGAGTCACACTCCGGGGAAGACTCACTCTGGACACATGTCACCGAGGACACAGCGTGGCCACCAGGTGCAGGCTCTCAGCTCTGGAGGCAGCGGCCTGGGTGGGATGAAGTCTCCGCAGGCCAACGTGCAGAATCCCAGAACCGACCCACATGATCCGGCTGCTTCGTCAGCAATACCCCGGGAGAGAGAACAGTGCCCAGCTCATGGGCTTACGATGAAGATCAAGCAAAATAATTAGTATGAACATGAAACATTCAGCGAGAAGCTATAACGAGTGCCCGTGAATGTTATTATCGCTATCATCTCCGTCATCGTTAAGGGCGTGGCTTCGGTATGAGGACTGGTACAGTCACCAGTTTCAAATGAGGAGGCGCAAGTCCCAGACACCCCACCCCCAAGACAGACCCAGACCCAGCACACCGGCCCCTGCGGGCACTCAGGGAGACCCTGCATCAGGTCGGGTGGGCGATGCTGGAGCGGCGTGAATGGCGTGGCTCAGCGGACGGGGCGCCGCCCCACAGAGAGAAAGGCTGCCGGTTTGATTCTTGCTCAGGGCACGTGCCTGGCAGCGGGCTCGTCCCTGGTCGTGGAACATGCGAGAAGCAATTGATCGACGTTTCTCTCTCACATCAATGTTTCTGTCCCTCTCTTCCCCCTGCCTTCCCCTCTCTCTAACATGAACTAAATAAAAAATCGGTAAATAAATGCTGGAAGTGAGGGGCCACCCGAAGGGACACGAGTCTCCGCTGGCAGCAGCCCAGAGGGCGCAGGCGTTTGCACCTCAGCAGAGACGGGGGCACGTGAGGAACACCCCCAGCAGCGCGTGCTGGGAAAGGGGGTGAGACCCCCTCACTCACACAGCCACTCACACAGCGGATGAAGGTCAGCGGACTGAAGGTCAGAGACAGCGATCTGGGCTCGATGGCGGCCAGAGCGTCCACCAAGGGGAAGACAGGGCCGGGCCTTCGCAGGGCAGAGCCCGGTCAGAAGCTGCGGACACCTTCAGGCTGGGAGGCCGCTCTCCGGACCAGCCTGCAGCGCCCCCGACCCTGGGGCCCCCTGGCCCTGGGGCCCCCTGGCCCTGGGCACCGCAGAAAAGCCCCTGAAGAAACACAAGGAAAATCAGACAAGCTGAGCAGTCACCCAAAAAGCTGGAAATGAGAGCAAAATAAGCCTAAAGAAAACAAGTGATTTTCTAGGAGATCATAGAAGTATTAAAACTGATGCAATGAAAAGCAGAAAACCTGAGTATACCTAGATCAGAAACAGATTTTCTAATGAAAAATATAGCTATTCTAATCTGTGAGTATAAAAACAACACTAGATATCAAGTGACTAAAACCGGTTTTACTTAAAAACAAGCACACGCACGACAAGAGGAGCTGATTTCAGGGACCTCGGGGTGCTCACCTTTAGACAATAAAGAAATAAAATTCACTTCCCTAACAGTGTAAAGGAGGAAAACCATGCAGATCACCAGCAGTTGCCCAAGACACATTTAGGAATATTGAACAACCATTTCTAAGTTTTTAAAAACAAACAAATCTAAGAACGGAAAGCAACACCTTCACTTGTTTGTAAGAACCAATACCAGAAACCTGGAACACACACACGTGGGAATAAAACATTTTAACAACTCACTATCCCCATGAAGTTGGAAACACAAAGGGGTTCAACCTCATCAAGGGGAACGTGCCGCTGGTTTTCAAGAGTATTACGTGCAGCTGCCCTTCGGTCTAGCAACCCTGCTTCTAAGAAGGATTCCCAAGACCAGCTGGCAAAGTACGAAACGGAGTGTGAACAAGGCCGGTCACCATGCCACTGTGCACAACAGCAGCGTCTGGACACCGAGAGAAACCACTTACACACCCTACTCAGCTGTTTGGTTTCACTCTCAAAGGACCTGTTTAAGGAGAGAGCGAGGGGGAGCTCCGGCTCACAGTGAAGCATACTCTACACAGTGGGGGGTACATGCAGACAACTGTAACTGAACAACAATTAAATAGTTTTTTAAAAAATACTCTACAGAACACATTATTAATGGGGGAAAGCAAAAAACATAAAAGGGAGCAGTGTGACTCATATTTTAAAAACTGGGAGGAATAGGAGTATATGGATGTATAGCCATACATAGTAAAAAGGAAATGTTTAAAGAAGAAGCAAAAACTCGCATGAAGGGCCCCCTCCGGGGGCAGGAAAGACCGAGGGGCAGGGGCCAGGGCACAGTGACCCGCTCAGAACCACCCTGTCCCACCCCTTCAATGGGGACCAGGCAGACATGGTCAGTTTTCGAATGTACAAAAAGCAAGGCCATCCGGAAAATGAAAGAGCAGCCAAAGCAAAGCTCTCCTTGTCCATCAAAGCTCCTTGTCCGTCAAAGCGGCAGCACAGTAACACAGAGGAAGATCATTTTAGGGGAGCTCACTGTGTGTTTCTAGCATGATATATCTTATGCACATAAGAACCGCAGGAAATTCTTAATTAAGAGAATAGTCATAGGTTCATTATTAGCAATAATACGTTTTGTTATTCTGAAAGTATTGTATATTGTGATGTTTGGAAAAAGACTTTCAGCCTAAGATATAAAACACAAATACATAATCACAGAAGTACATTAAAACCCTAAGACAGTTAATTTAAGTGAATGCATGACTGACTTCTTCACATTACAAAATGCACAAAATTCTTCACTGTCTCCTGAAAACCCTAAGAGGAGCACAAACCCCAGCGCACCAGGCACGTCTGGGCTCCAGGCTCAGGTCTCCAACGCCACCGTGCAGCAGGAACAGACAGGGGCCGGCTCCCCTGGAGAAAAGGGCCCGCTCTGGGCCTGCACAGGAACCGTGTCCAAACGAGCTGCCACGGTGACCAGAGTTGTGTCAGAGAAACACACGGGGTCAAGGCCACGGTAAACAGAATAATGACTGCAAACAGACAGCACGGAAACCGTGTTTTTTAATCCATGGTTCGGGAACAATATCTCCCCCAAACACTTACAAGTCGTCTTCGGAGACGGACAGAGCATCAACTCGCCGTTCTGTGAACTAGCAGAGACAGAGCCCAGCACGCACCCTGCCTCTCCGTGCTGACCGCACACGGTGGGGACCACGTGGCCAATGAGACAGCACTCTCTGCACAGAGGGGCCCCGGCTAACAGCTGCAGAGAGGATGAGAGGACGGGGACTCGGCATCTCACGGTCGCCGACGAAAACAACGAACGTCTGGTAAACCTCATGGAGAAAGTCTTCATTAAAAGGCCAGGCTGAAAATTCTCTGAACCCACTGATCGCTCCTAACATAATTGACATTTAGACAAGCAGATGCTACCTCCTTCCGATAAACTCAACAGGAAGCACAGGGCATCACGTCTGAAGTGCTCTTGCCAGAAAAAGAGAAAACCCTGACTCTGATCAAGCTACAGAAGCATGTTAATACTGGAAGCAAACATCCCAAATGCGAGACCGCGTGGACCAGTTACAGACTCTGTTCCTTCAACAAACGGACAGCACGGGAAAGGGACGGGCTGCCGTGGACCACGGGGAGGTGGGCCCCTCGGCCAGGTGCTACGGCACGAGGAGGTTCCAGGTGGAGGACGGGAGACGTACAGGCTAGCGCTCGTCGGCACAAAGCTGAGTGCTTGTATTTACTGGATGGAACAGGTTTCAGGGCAAAAACCACAACCAGGAATAAAGAGGCTCATCTCAGAAACACGGACAGGCCCACAATAGGCCAGAGGACACGACAATCTTCCACGCGTACAAATAAATCACAGAGCTTCAAACCCTGCACCTCGGGGTCCGAGAGGGCACTGACGGGGACAAGAAGGGTCTCGGGCACAGCCGGACGTTTCGAGTTCCAGGCATAGCGTCCGGGAGGCCGCGCAGCAGTCAGGGCGCAGGGCCGCCAGCGCGCTCGACCACCTCGGCCCGGCCCGGCGTGCCGACCACACGCCCCTCCACACTGCACATGCAGTCCCCTTCGGGACGCAGGGACCCTGTGCCCCCAGGGACTGTGTTCTGAGGTTTAAAACGAGCCTTGGTGAACTGGAGAGGGGGGCGTGGCAGGCCGGGGACAAAGAATGTGCCCGCAGAGAAGGTGAGTGGGGAAGGGTCGGAAGGCAGAGGATGAGGCAGGAGACAGAGCCGGGCTAAGGACGGGACCTGCTGGGGGTGGGAGGCAAGGACAGTCTCACAAGCTGTAGAGTGACCCAGGGGTCTGGGAGGACAAAGAGCCCGCCCGACGGCAAAGCGGCCAGGTAGGAGGGCGACTGTTAGCTCAGACATTTGGAACTGGAGACGCAGCGTCACCTGTGTCGGTGAAGAGGTTGCCGAATGTGCTGCACAGGCAGAAGGCCCCACCGCCGTGCAGGTCCAGGTGCAGCTGGTACCCGTGCAGTCCACGCCCGGGGCTGTCGTCCGAGAGAGCGCCGTGAGGGGGCAGCTCGTAGGGGCTGCAAAGCAGACAAGACACACGTGCGTCTGTCAACGCCACGGACAGAGGGCTGGAACTGCAACCACTCTAAAAATCGGACGTGCATCCAAATCACTGGCCCCTGTCACTGCAGGACCCCCATCGCCCCAACACCAGGAACTCCGCACCCCAGGCTCCTCCTGCCAACTCCTAGGAAGACAGGCAGAGACCCGGGTTCCACGGGCGTCCACAGGACCACCCAGGCAGCAGCTCGGCAGAGGCGGCCCCATCCCCCCCGTGGGTCAGGGCCCCCGGCACCGACTGCCCAGCAGGAGAGCACCTGCCTGCACACCTGCTACTACGACTACGACAGCCCTACAAGCGAGGGACCTGGGCAGAGACCCACAGCCTCGATGAGCAGTTTTCTTCAGGAAGAGAACCCTGACTGTGCATACAGGTGACAAACACATTCTGGGGCTCTTCAGGCGACGGGCAAAAGGGAGTAAGGCCTCTGTCATGAAGTGGAAAGCACCCCTCCCTCACACCTGAAGACCCTCCAACTCAGTGAAAGGCCCACACTGTGACCAAGCCCGCGCCCCCCGCCCCCCTGCAGACTGGCGGACTGAGGGTCGGCGCGCCTCCCGGGTGTGTGAGCTCACAGGCGCAAGGAGAATGTGAAGCACCAGGAGGCATGGGCCTCCTGTAGGGAGGAAGCGTCCTCCCCACAAATAACATTCCACGGGTGGATCCTCAACCCAGAACAAAGACAGCAAACACGTCCTGGTGAGTAATCCGATTATTTCGGCAACAGCTCAGTCATGATGCCTGCGGGCTTGTGTCTACTAGGAACAGAACGTCTCTGTGGCCGGTCCCCGGATACTCAGATGGTATCAGCCCGTCGCTGTTCACGTCGACTTCACAAAAACTAAACACGCGACATCCAGGTACTTACACGGTGGCCGAGCCCAGTGTGCTCCGCTCCACGAGGCGACTGACATGAAGATTCGCCACGACAAAAGCCAGCTCTTCCTTCCTCTGCAGAGTCATTAAAAAGAATACATTTTTTCGGCTGAAACGTTTTAATTTTCCACCCCAGACACCAGACTGACCCTGCGCTGCTCTGCACTCACGGCACAAAGCTCTTCCCTCGAGTACCTGCCCAGCCTCGCAGACCTGCTGGGGGAGGCTAGGTCCCATGCCTCCCTCCTCCCTCCAGCTGGGGACACAGAAACGTGACTGCATGGGAAGTGGCGCCATTCGTCCCCAGAGGCACAGCTGCACTGCCCAGGGGCGGTGACCCGGGAGGCAGATCTGAGGGTGCCGTCCCCAGTGGCCAGACAGTGACGGACCATATACACTCTCGGCCGGGGACTACACGGCCAGCACCAGTGGAGGACTTCAGGTCAGGGGACCTCGGCCTGGCCCGTGGGCCTTCACCCAGAAGGGGGAGGGAGGGCACAGCAGGTCAGGAGGGAAAGGGGGCCGGGGGCGATGCTGGAGACCCAGTCCTGTAGAGGCTTCCCCCATGAACACACACGGCCATGCTCCGGGGATTCAGACCAGGGAGCTGGCTTGTAAGACCCAGGGCCGGAGCCCCAGCAGGGCCTGCAGCGAGCATGGGAATGTTGCACGGCTGCTTCTCAGGAAAGGGCTGCCCAGGAAGCCAGCCCTGAGGCAGGGGTAGGTCCTACACCCTCCCCTGAGGGGCAGGTCCACTCACTGCCACACCCACGGGGCCAGCAACACGCCGGGCAGATGTGGGAGTTAAACTCCCAGAGGCTTCAGCAGAGAAAGGACATGGAAAGAACAGACAGGAACGTGGACCGCCAGGCGGGGACGGGGACGCCCCTTGGTGAAGGAAGCTGGTCGTCCGTGGGAACACCACCGGGGGGCGCTGTGCCCCAGAAAGGGGGCTGTAAGAGGGCCCGATGGCCCGCCGTGCGTGAGCCCCGGGAGAAGGCTGCACCCCTGACCCCGGGACGTGGGGGCGGACGTGGGCTGACAGGGAGGGCACCCCGGCCCCGCGGGGCCCGAGCCTCACCTTCCACAGCCCCACCAGCAGCCCCGGGTCCAGGCGGCAGAGCCGAACAAGGTGGTCGCAGCCAATCACGGCGGAGTCGGTTATGTCGCTCAGACTGTACCTGGCCACCAGGGAGCACCACCGAGGCCTTCAGTCGTGCGCATCGAGGGAAGGAAAGAGAGAGGTGAGCCCTGGCGTCCGCAGTGTCACGTTCGCCCGGGGGTCTCTGAGCAGGCTCCAGAAGGGCCCCTCAGCAGGCGGCCGCGGCCCGCATGGACTGTCAGTGGGTCTTCCCAGCAAGCCAGCCACGCGTAAGCAAAGACGAAGAGCTTGGGGACGACGCCACGGTCTCGGGGCTCACTGACAGCAGGTGCACCTCCTCAGCCCACCTCCAGCAGTGGAAACTGGAACGTTAGAAAATAAATCTAAACCACGTCCTGGTTTTCACTGTGAACTATACTAGAATCAGTCCAAAGAGTAACCAGCTCAGGTGTGTAAGGAAACACACGTCAACTCTGCCACTGCTCATCAGCCTCACACCCCATCGTGCTGGGCTGAGACGTCTGGCCGGCCCAGGAACCGAGAGAAAGTCCACAAGGCCACCAGGGAGGGTCTCGGCGGCCAAGTGGGACGGCCCAGCACCGGAGCCGAGGCTGCAGGGAGCCCCAGGGGACTGCGAAGCTGCAGTGTTCCCGGGGCAGCCCCAAGCCGAGGGTCTGTGTGGACCCGGCCCCAGGGCTGCCAGGCCCCCTGGCCCCTCCATCACTTCTCAGAGGACGTTGGGGCCGAGACCCCCGGTCAGGGACGGGCGTGCGGGGGAGCATGGGCCAGGCCCCACAAGCTCTGACACCGACCGTGAGGCGGAAATTCGCCCACCGCTCACATATCTGGGGAGCTGCAGTGCGCACGGCAGAGTGGACAGCTTTGGGACAAAGGCGACGATTCAACGAGTCTGACTAGAAAGGCACAAATTACAGGGAAATGCAAACGGCCAATTACATAATTATGGCTTTCCAGTTCCTAGGAAAAAATTCCTAGGGAGGAAACAAAGATGCCAATGGAAGTGACCGAGTCTCTCCTTTGCTGCCCCCCAGCTGCCCACGGACGTGCATTTCCCCCCGTGCCCAGCGGGACTGACTCGGTGTTCACTCGCCACGGGCTGCCCAATGCCGACCGGAGTTGGAGATGTCAGTGGAGACGAATTCCACCGAGTGCATGTCCCCTGAGGAATGCTCGCCTTTCTGTCCCCATGGCGCACCTCCCGCCCGACCTGGACAGCAGCTTCCGGGACCACCCGTCTAAGTTAGTCTCTCACGACCATTTTCACGGGGCCAACCGTTTTGTCCTAACACTATGGACCAGGGGTGTCAAACCCACTCCCACCGGGGGCCGCGTCAGCCTTGAGGCTGCCTTCGAAGGGCCAAATGTAACTTCAGGACTGTGAATGCAGCGGCTCCTGAACAGTTAAGCGAGAGCACGGCACTGCCCCTGGGAGAAACGAGGTGCCGGCCGGATTCGGCCCGCGGGCCTCGTGTTCACCACCTGCACTCTGGACAACGCCCCGTGATAGGTGAACCAACATCCCGGCGGTCGGACTGGTGGAGAGGCTGTGGACTCACCCCCCAAACCGTCCCAGGGCACCGACTCCGAGTGCCGATCTAGAGAGACCCGATGCCCGGCCTCACTGTGTGGAGCTTCAGAGCTTCGTCCCAAGGAAGGTGCCCCCTAGGACGGCAGCTGTGCCGACCAGGCACCTTCAGGAACGTTGCAACCAGAGCGAAGGGCCCATCCACGCGGGTTTTGTCCCAGCACCTGGGGCACTGTTTTCACAACACGGCCAAACCCGCGTTTGGCCGTGGGAAGCCCCGTGCTCACACTCACAGCCAGCTCACTGACACGACCCTCAAAGAGCCAGCGTCACGGAGAGGGGCCAAAAAACGGTCCCAGGAATGAAGTCACAAATCTGTGACTTTGCCCAGGGAAACCATGGGAGGACATCCTCCCTCCACGGAGACAGCAGGACGCAAGGGGAGCCGTCTCGGTCCCTCCCACACAAGGACAGGTGTGAGAGAAGCCAGTGGGACCACAGCACGCAGGGGAAGGAGGATGACACGGCAGGTGTCACCACACAATAGAGGACGTGGAGACAGTAAAGGAGGTGGTCGCCACAGCAGAGCAGCCATGGGGGAGGCAGCTGTGAGCTCTGCGTGGCCGGGAACTCTGCACCGAGACTCTGTCACCTGCTCAGGAGTCAGGACGCCACACACGGCACAGTCCCACCGCCAGGAAGGAAGGACGAAGGGTGAGAAGAGTGAGCACAGGAGACGCTGGAAACAGCGAGGCGCAAGCCTCACGCTGAGAGCAGGCTGGGCCCCGGCGGCCTCCTGGCAGAGCCGCGAGTGCCCAGGAAGCATCGGCCTCCTGCTGCACGCGCGTCTGAGCTGTGCCTTTGACTGGGGCGGCGTGTGACCTCCACAGCCCGCCGTCACCATCACCCGTCTCACAGAGGAGAGAACGCAGGCACAGAGAGAGTGACTACCTGCACAAGGCCACCAGCCGGACAAGCCCTTGAAAACTAGTAATACTCATGACTTTACAAGCCGATGCTTACACTGATTGTTATACCATTCACTAAAGAAAAGGGTAATGGTTTTATATAGCTTTCTGCTAAAGTGATTAACACTAAAATCCTCAAAAGGTTAGCTGTCCGTTGTCTAGGAAGTTCTGTTAACAAACGCACCATCTCCTAAGTGTCACCGCTAACCGAGACGAGCGGAACCTAAACCGAGGAACCTAATCGCACCTGCCAGAAGCCCATCCTCATCCCGTTCTACAGCAACCCAGGATGAAAGAGAGAGAGAGGTCTTTAATAAGATGCAATCCAATAAAAAACGCTGGCGATATTTTTGAGTTAATTCGCACCTACCCATTCTTGGTGGGGGGTTTGGGCCAGTCCGTGAACACCGGCATCACACCGCACAGGTCCAAGGTGGACAGCGCAGCCAGGCAGGGCCAGGCTTTGCCGTACCACGCGATCGTGACCGAGGACTCGTTGATGAGAAGGTCGACGTGCTCCAGGACGTGCTCCCTTCCGCTTTTCTCTCTCAGTATGATTACCCAGCCGATACCCGATATTCTGCCGAGAGAGGAGCAGGCTGAAAGTGTTTGCCTCGCAGAAAAAAGAAATGCTGGAGTCTGTTTCATGAGTCATCTCCACAGCAACCAGCTCCTCACCACCAAAGTCAAGGTCGTCGGAAGGGAACGCGCCTGCAGTGAGCGTCGGCCGCCCCTGCGGCTCTCTCCTTAGACCTTCTCCCCTCACCCGGCAAACACCGCCTGGGTGCTCAGTACTGGCAGCACGCAGAGAAGTTAAAAAAAAGTTCTGCCCAAGGGAACTGCCTTGAATGCTGTAGCTTCACCAGAGCACAGCGCGGGGCTGTTTCTACTTTTCCTTCGAGCTGGAAACACCACTAATCTGGAGTAGGAAGATGCTGCACATTTTGTGGGTGCACAGAAACACACACAGATATCGAAAGACGGCTCCCCCCACACACACAAAGGGCATGCGTGCCCTGTACACACAGCCGTCTGAGCTCACACCTCATTCTTCTCTGAAGGTCACAGTACCCGAGCCGGCGTGACGCCACTGTCGCAGGCGACGTCGTACCTGAGGGCCTCCTTGGTTTTCTCCGGGAGGCCCGTGTAGAGGTTGACGGGTTTGAGGACCTGAGCCAGAGCCGCCTTGAGGGAGGCCATCCGCCTCATGACATACTCTCTCTTCCAGTGCCCAGCCTCTCTGTCCTCCACCGAGAGCAGGCTCATGGACCCTGCCATCCTCCCCACCGAATCGGCTCTCCAGTTGTATCTTTTAGGGGAAAAGGCAGATGAGTAGATTCTGATCCAAATAAGACTGAGGGGAGAGAAAACAGTGACTGGGCTAAGAGACAGTGTCACACACCGGGGGCTGCAACAGGTCACTGTGCAGGTGCAGAGCACCTGGGCCAGCGCGCCACCCTCCCAGCCAACGCCCCCCCCCGCTTTGGGGAAGAAAGGTCAACTTCTCTTGGGGGAAACTAAGGCGGAGGTTAAAATCTATGTCCTGTAAAAGGTGGCGTTCATGTCGATACATGTAATTATTTGCTCATTTACATCTACACATTCCGTTCGGTGCGGAGAGGGGCGTAATGGCCCATGGCCAAGAGACAAAGAGCAGAAGGCCATCCCGCTGCGGACGGGAAGCCCCCAGACCACAGGGAGTCTGTGGGAGACCCGGGAGCCGGGGAGGGCACGGCCACGGCCGAGCTGGCCACGCAGCGCCCACCACAGCAGACGAGGAGCTCGCCGCAGACGGCAGACGCATGCCCTTGCCCCTCAATCTGGGTATCACCTGCACCCCCCGGTAAACGCACACACAGTCAGACCCTCCCGCGCCTCTCTGTGTTCTAGCAGGGGTGTTCAGTGACTTCTCCAAGTCGGTGCACCCCAAGCTGTTTGCCTTCGGGACTTCACGTCTTCCGCTCAGAAGTTTGCTCTACTTGGCACCCGCCCTGGCACTCAAGTGCAGAAACAGCCAGGCCATGGCAAGGGCAGGCAGGGCACAGACCGTGCACGCCTCCAGTGATGGCCGCCACGCCCAACGCTCACGCGCAAGGCCAGTGTCACGCGCCGCCTTACAGTCACCGTAAGAGCGGCCTGAAGGGAACAGAAACCTCCTGCAGAATGAAGTGCTGTGTAGACTGTTGCCTGCGATTATTTACAAAATATGAATGTCGAGTTTAAGGTGCTTTTATCAGTCTCCAACCCCCAACACACCCGCCTCTGGACCACCAAGGCTCTGCCCTGTTTGAATGCTAAGGTGGAATCCAGGACCAGCATTTATGTATCTGATCCGACTACGGGTCAGGTGTCCTTGTTTGGGAAGCGGGGCCGACGTGATGTTCTGACCCAGGGCATCTCCCAGAGCTCTGGTAGACGCCCCTCGACCATGCGAGGTGGCCTGATGCCCACCCCAGCGACCACAGTGAGCCATGCTCATGCCCAGGTCGCACCTGGGAAGCAGCCCCCCGAGGTAACGGCCGCAGAGAACACCCTTCCACTGTGGGCCCTGGAAGTCATCAGGGTAAATGCCACATTACATGCTCCTGTCCTCCCTTCACCAGCAATGTTTAAAATATACCCTTAACTTTCCAAAACATGTATTGTTTATCCATCCAATTATTCATACACCCTCTTAATGAAGACTAAGAAACTTACAAGTACAATTGAACTTCTACAATTAAGGCTACCCTTTGCAAGAGAAAAGAACCATGTGTGTGATTTCATCAGAAGCTCAGGTGTTCAAAGGACAACATCCCCTGGATCAGAACCTGACCGAGACGTCCCGTCTCCTCCTTACTTGTCATTGGCCAGGTGGTAGAAGCGCCTGTTCACACATCCCATGCACAGCAGGGCGGCAGCATCCAGGTAGGACAGAATCTTCAGCAAGACTTCCGCGGGCAAGCTGGGGGCAGGGGAGGGGAGTTCGGAGCAGTGGGTGTCTCACCCGGAGCCCCGCTGCCATCCTCTGCACAGAGGAGGCTGTAACTGGGCCCCCTGCCCACAGGCCACCCGCCATCTTCTGCTGTGTCCCTGTGGTGTGCTCCGTCACCGCGATGCTCAGGACACACACCAGTACCGAGACCCGGCCGCACAGAGCTGCCTTCGTGCCTGGGCCTTGAATCACGTTCCCACCCTGAATCAACCGGGGGCTTCCACCCACCCACCGCCATGACAAGAGCGTGATTTGGAGAGGCAAGTGGAAATGAGAGACAGATACATGCTTAGCTGTCAATAGGAAAAACACAGACTCCCCGCCCTTCAAAAACAAGGAACAGCCCTGCGTGGAACAGGAAACAGCGATGCACTTCCCCCTGGGCCCCGCCGCCCGTCCCCAGCACATCTGCAGGGCTGGCCGCTCCTGGGAGCTTCAGGGAAACACCACACCCCATCAGAGCTGCTGGGGGGTCTTTTTCTTTTTCACTTATGTGCCCTATAAATATGCCGCTGAGATGCAATCTCAGTATCCCATGGATTTCTGTGGCTTTAGAATTCTACAAAACCCTACAGTAACCTGGCCGTGCCCAGAAAGCACTGCCCAGGGTGAAAGTCGGGAGTGCTCGCCCTGACCTTGGGGCCCAGGGGCCACGAAAGGCAGCCACAGGCGGTTGTACTTGGTGGGGGAGAGGGGCTCAGGGTAAAGGGTCGGCGGGACCCAACCCTCCGCTTGCCCATACTCTCTAATTGAGATTTCAGATTGCGATGTCAGGTGGGAAAGGCCCCTAATGCCGCACAGCAAAGTTGCAAGAAACACATGTTTCGCGACAATTTGGGTTATCTGTTGAATGTAGTTTTTTATATTTTGATTCAACTATTTCCCAATTTGTAGTTATTTTTTAAATCTCTGGAATTTTTTTTAAAATGTAGAGTTGAACTTCAAGAAAACATTTCAGAAAAGCATCCAGCAACTGCAACAATTATTGACTTAGAGTAAAATCCCACTGAAGGATGTTGGGCAGGCTGACCCAGCCGACTAGGCAAAACAGCCAAGATCAACGGTGCCGCTAATTATGCTTCGTCGGGTGGCCTCAACACCAGCACAGATGATGGGCACACTCACAGGGGTTACTTCCTGGGAGCTGATTCTAACTTCACACTGCACGGGGCAGGCTGGTGGGGGAGGAGGGAAAGGGGAGAGGCGGGGCCCCTGGAGAAGGTTCCGAGTGTTGGAGCAGGAAAATCTGCTTCAGGTCAACACCTTTCCCTGAGGGAACTCGAGTTCATCCGTGCTCGCTCACCTCCAGCAGTGTGGGAGCTCCAGGATGCACAGGTCCCAGTCCGTGCTGTGGGCCCGTGGCTCTACCCCTGCACCTGCCACGCGCTTGCTCCCCGTCCCCGGAGGAAGCTCAAGCCTCCTCACACAGCTGCTGTTGCGACCTGAGCTCGGGTCCCAGCCCTGTGTCCCCTGGAGGACTCCGCCTTCCGTTCCCGCCTCCCTGTCCTGTGTCGCTCACAGCAGCCCTGAGAAACACTCCCTCAGATCGCATCCTACAATGACCTTCACCGTGCCCCCGGCTCCCTCCAACTACCAGGGATGACCCGTTTCTCCCTCCCGCTGCCAAGCTTCTAGAAAAAACAAGAGCAAACAAAGCCTGTCCCCACTGCTGCCTCCAGGCCCCCCCCCCCCCCGCCAGGCCCTGCCCTGCAGCATCTCCTCTCCTGGCCACACAGGAGCCCCTCCTGGTTGCTGGGACCTTATTGCTCTTTCCTCTTCCACCTTCCCCCAGCTGGTTCCTGCGCCCCTGCCCCTTCACTTCCACCCTGTTTCTCCCGAGACCTCTGTGCCATGGCTCTCGGGACTCCCCACACCGAGTCCTCACCCTCAACCACGCTCACAACCGCTGTCCTCTTAGCCGGACTCTGTCCCCCTCCCCAACCAGAGGCACCTGCACTGGGCGGTCCACCCAACAGGTTCTGATTCCTACTTCCCATCTGCTCTCCCCACCGACACCCGACTGGCAAACAAATCATGTCACGTGGGCCCCCACGTGCCTCTCACACTGGCCTGTGTCTCCATTGCCCCTCCTTCTAGAGAAGGAAGGCTGGGAATGAGTAAACAAGCGAGTTTAAAAACTCAAATGACATCACACCTCTGTGCCTAAAATCACCCGAGCACCTCCCCATGACCCAGGTCCCATCTGGGCCACCTCTCCCCGTCCTGGCCCACTGCCCACGTCACACACTCCCACACCTTGGTGGAGTTCTCAGCTTACCTGTCCCCTCCACAGAGACTGCGTGCCTCACCACCGCACCCACTGTGCCGGAGCACGGCGCCCCAGGACACCAGTCACTACTTTTTTAATGTGGCTCCCCTACTAGACTGTGAGCCTCGTGAGAGTGAACACGAGCGGCTCACTGTCTGTGTCCCAGCTCTAAGCTCGGTATCTGGTACAGAGAAGTAACCGAATGAATGTTGGTTCTGTTCTCACGTCGGATTATTGTAGGACAGATTCTATTCCCAAAACATCAAGTTCAAAGCTTCAACTGATGTCCTTAATACATTCTTTTTTTTTCCTTTTTTTTTTTTTTGGCTTTTCATTTCTTTTTAAAACATGCTAAAAGTAGTGTTATCTGAGCTAGTTATGATAATAAGACTAATGCCCAAAACTCAGCATCAGGCAACTTACATTTCAACCTGAATCTTGCAGTCTGTGGACTGTGCAGGCCTCGCTCCCTCCATGTGAAAGGTCTGTGATCATTCCAAGCCTTCGGGCTCCACACTGTGCTTAGTGCAGAGCCGAAACTCTGTCAACCTCAGAAGAGTGTGAACCCCAACCATTTCAAGTTGTAATTAAAAAAGAAAGAAAGGATTCCACAGCTCTTATTGCCTGTTACTGAGGCCACGGTACAGAATCTTGCCATGGCAAAACAGGTCCCCAAAATCCCAAAAGATAAGAAATTCAGAGACATCCTGAACATTTAGAAAACGACACTTGAATCTTCTCCATTTTTAAGTGTCTATCTCAACAGCAAAATGAATCATTTTAAAGAACTTTTTAAAAGGGGAAAATTAAATTGACTTATCACTTTTAGACGTTTAGCTTCACAAAATTAGTCTAATAATGACGGTGGTGACAGCTGGTGACTCACATCAAACTCCCCGGGTTGTGCGCCCTTCCTACACACTTCTATTGTTAGAGAGCTCAGAATAGCGGCTCGGTGCGCGTGGTGTTGTCACCGTGTCTGATGGCTGCCTCCCGGAAGCCTCCGGGAGACATGCCCGGCGACCTGCGCCCCTTACCTGTCCAGCCACGCAGGGCAGTGTGAGCAGGGCCTTGCCCGGGGCCCTTCGCCCCAGGCGTGCTGCGTCCCAGGCGCGTGGAATGCAGTGGCCCGGGAGCCTGGCCCCCTCCTGAAAGGAAACACGGAAAACTCGCATTACCACAACAGAAGGGGAACTGTCCGTTCCCCAAGACCACATTTCAAGGGGTTCAGACTCCAAAGACTGCACGCTGTAAAACTTCGCTCCGTGAAGACAGGAAAAGGGGTGGGGCGGCTGGACTGGGAAGTGCCTGTGGCCTGAATCCTGGGCGCGCTCCCCTGTGTTCTAAGACTCAAGTTTACCACTCCCTCTGCTCACAGGCCATCAGCATTGAAGAGGTTACATGTCGGTAACATGGACGTGAGGGAAACAAAAAGGAAAAGACAAAATGTACTCACTGTCCAATCTCAATAATACAACAACAAAACCTGATAAAAACATCACCAGCAGAGTGAAAAAACCTTTTAGATTTGTGAGCCAGAGCTTCCAACAGGACCCACGACTCCCCTGACCTTGGAGGGGTGGCAGCTGGTTCCCACTTGAGCTTTGGTGATCACAGCCCCAGAGGAACTGCTCATTCACCCACAAATTTGTTCACACTTTAATCCCTCATGTTCAATGAAATAGACTTTGTCCACCCTTTTTTATCTTAGTGGTGCATAAAATAACTGAATTTTATAATCAATATAAATGTTCGAAGAAACTGGATATAATATTTTATGCAATTAGTTCTTTTCAGAAGTTTCTAAAATAATTTGTACTAAAATCAGCAATCAAAAGCTGTGATACTCAGTGGGAGCTTGGTGGCGTCTAACACACCCAGAGAGCCACAGTCCCCGAGTCGTCTCTGCCTTGGCTGGCTGGCAGGCAGGCGTGAGTCCTGGGGAACAGGCTGGTCCCCTTGGAAGGGTCTGGAGGCAGCTTCTTCACCACACTCATGCCAGTCACTGGCCCACCTCCCAGCCAGCACGCTCTCTAGGAAGGCGCAGAAAGTCAGAGCGTACCTGCCCGCATGCTCAGTTCACCAGCACCCGTCACTCGGAGTCTGTGCCTCACGCACCGAGTTTAACCACCAAGCTGACTGCCTGGATGTACTTGGACCAGCACTCAAAGAGGACACAAGGAGTAACTGGAGGCGCAAAGAGGGACCCCAGCAACGTGGAAGGGCGGCCAATGATATCTTTGGAAGCTGAAGAACCAAGTCCACAGCAGAAAAGCTTCAACTTGGCCAACCGGCTCTACCACGGTAGTCAGCGGTAAATCACAGTCTCTTCCCAGGGCTGCCTTAACCAAGTTCCTCAGGCGTCAGACCACAGAAACGTACCGTCTCCGAGTCCCAGCGACCAGAAGTCCAAAACCACGGTGTTGGGAAGGCCACATCCTCGGTGTCCCCAGGCGTGTGGCGACAGCACCGCCATCTTGGCTCCTGCCGTCCACGGCCCTGTCCCCAGTGCGTGGAGGTGTCCCCATGTGTCTTCCTCTAAGGACTCCGCGCACGTCCGACCGAGGGCCTGCCACACTGCAGCACGGCCTCGCCTTACCGGCTGCACATGCAAAGCCGCTGCTGCCAGATGCAGTCAGACCCCAGGCTCCGGCGGACAGAATGGGGGACGTGGGGTACATTATTTAACACGATACACAATTTTAAATTTTTTATTTAAGTGTTATTGATATATGATATTTTATGTTTCAGGTACAATACAGTGATGGGACATTTTTATGCCTGACAGTGTGATCACCCTAACTCTAGTGACCATCCGTCACCATGCAAACTGACCACAGTATTACTGACTGTATTCCCCTCCCCCTCTCCACCCACCCTCCCACACCCCCTTCTCGTAACCATCCCTGAGTCTATTTTTGTTCTGCTCATTTGTTTTCGTAGATTCCACATAAAACAGAAACTATATGGTACATTTTTTAATGATTAAAAGCATCTCCTAAGCAGGACCCCTGAAAGCCCATCTCCACTTCCCTGTACGAGGACCGCCCGCCATGGGACCACAGAGTTCCTGAGTCAGGAGGGCTGTGCACACGCCCACTCAGACCTTTCCCTCCAAGAAATTGAGGGACACTTGGCTGATGTGGTCGGTACGAGGACGTTTGGTTCAAAAACACTGTTTCATGTCACAGATCTTTGCCTGACAGCTTTGAATTAGCTCAGTATTTCTTAAAAAACCTACCTCCTGGGCCTCATTTTTAATACCAAGAATTTAGACCAACTTGTAGAAAGTATAAATTAGGCCAACTTGACATGCTTTCTACTACATTTCTTACAGTTCATGATATTTATCTATGTATTCACATTCTGTGTTTAAAAAGGGAACTTCTGATTCCTTACTGAAATCTGATTTTCCCACTTTCACACATTTACAGTAACTGCCTACTTAGACCATAATCAATCATTCTTTGCACCTGACCTTTCTTTACCAAAAAGAATGTATGTCACCAAATCACAGGTGGGCATGCAGGCCGGGAAAAGTGACAGGCACTGACTAAATCACTGCTCCAAGAAGTTCGGTCACCTTACAAAGAAATGGAAAGCTTGTCATCTAAAAGTCCTTCTGCTGCCCACTGACACAGCACTGTACATAAAGACTAATGTATGTACAGAGAGCTATACACAAAGACTAATTTTAGCAACAGTGACAAAATGATTTCAAGTTCTAGCTTCCTATTTAAATGCCAGTGCTTCTCTCCTACAGAAAAAGAATTTCTGCAGGCATTGTCACCATGTCACTTGTCACAAGGCTCGAGGTAGGTACAAGATGTCTAGATATTCACTGGGGAACTAATAGCATAACACTAAGGGGCAGTATCCTGCTTAGGAAACCAGGGTGAGGAGTTGGACCTCTAGGGTGGACACAGGACGTAGTCCTGGAGATTCAGGAAAAGAAAAAATGACAAGTAGTTGAACTGGTAAGTAGCATCACCCTTTTTTAATGCTTTAGCAAAGACATTGATGTATCAGAAGGCATAATATGCATGACTTCCTATATCTATAAATCAATAAGACTTTTACAAACAGAAGGATAATCCTCAAGAATGCAAATTGTCCTAAGCATTATTCCTCCACCTGGAATAACGGATACAGAGCTAGGAACGCTCACGATAAAACGAAAGGATTTAATAAGGCACCACAATAGCACGCGGATACTTCTGACACACTGAATCACTCACGTCGGAAAAAGAGCCATCGTCCCTGAGCGTTAACCCGATGGTCTGGAAGCGCTGCAACCTCCTACCCCTGCCTCGTGCCCCTCTCTCCACTTTACTCCACCAAGTTGCCTTCTCTCACTGTGGAAGAGGACGACTCTTCAGTGGGCAATGGAGGGAAAACCGGCAGAAGAGGATCTGCAGCTGAGCCCCACAGGGCGACCACCCAGAGGCATCCATCCCTCTGGGTTTACTTAGGGACACAGACTTGGCCTGGAATCGGAAGTGCAGAAAGTGCTGCCCGGCAGGGGGCGCTCCCGGACCCGACCCTCGGCTGGAGGAATCTGCTTTGGGCCCCCACTCCCGGACAGTGGGCGGGACAGAACAGAAAATCGTAATGTTTCTACTTCTCCAAGTTAGAAGTTCACAAAAAGACGAAAGGGGACTCCTGGCCTCAAAATAAGGAAGAACTTCGAGGGCGCATTGCGGAGTTGTACCCTTTCGGCACGTGCAGGTGGAGACCGGTATGGCGCACCTGTCTGGGCAGGTGCAGCTCATTCGCGTGGAGGGTCCCCGCGAGGCGCTGCTTAGAGGTTGGGGAGCTTACTACGTTCGCGACCCCACAGTGCCCATAACTGACCTAACGGAAAGGGAAGAAGGTTTCTTGGGGGGGGGGGGGGGGGGGGCCACTCGACTTATACCCTGATTTGGGGTGGCTCCACTCTTCCAAGTTGAAGGTACTTCCTCCCGCCATTCTTCCAGACCTTTCCCGCACTGACAGAGGCCGCCAGCAACGCGCGAGGCGGGCCAATGAACAGAAAGGGGAAAGGGCAGCAGGGCTGCGGGAGAGGGGGACCGTCACCTGAACCTGTAGCTCCCCGGGGCCGCGCCGACGCCCCCGAGTGGCAGGCGCAGGGCCTGGAGGCCAAGCCATTGCTGCTGCAAGAGCCGACCGCGTCTGGTCGCCATGGAGACCCGGACCGAACGCGTGGGCGGAGCAACCTGAGGCAGGTAAAGAGCACCGCCCCCGCCACGCCCACCCGACGCCAGCGCACTCCCTGACACGCCTGCGCAGTAGCGCCTTTTCGTCTGCTCTACGAGAGGTGACTATAGATTTCCGAGCGCGCAGTTTGTACCTCTGCGTTGCTATTGTGGCTGCCTCGTTCCATCCGACATGACTCTTTTGTAGTCCGCACTACTTTTCCTTTTTTTAGGAAGAATGTGAAATGCAAAGATTACGTCATTTGCCCAGAAGAGAGGGCAGAGCCACAGACCGGAAAATTTCCAGTTTACATAGTCCTCTACAAAGGGTCACAAGAACATGCAGTTTGCAATTGCTAATTTGACTTTGCTGAGTTAGAGAACTATAGTCCAACGACTCGAATCCTGCCAAAACTAACTTCGTGCAGCGCATGCGTAGCCAGCCCGCGCGGGCTCGTCTGGGAGACAGCGCCGGACTCAGTGGAGTGTGGCAGCTTTGCACTCTGGGAGATATAGTCCTTGACTCTTCCTCGCTACAGCAACTCAGAGAAGAGTGAATTTCGCAAACTACTACTCCCAGGATTCCTAGGGGTTTCCCAGGTTGCTTTGTAAGGGCATGGCGGGGCGAGAGTGAATGTCAACCTAGAAGTTAATCAGAACACTTTAATTCAACCAAAAAGAGCACCAAAGAGAAGGGGCGGTGGACAGCAACTCCTGTTGCTGTTTCGTTTTAAAAACTCTGCTGGATCTCACGTTTCTGTCGAGCACACCGTGTGGCCTTACTGGCGTGAATGTGTGCCCTGGATCACAGGTCCAGCTGGGCGTGGAGGGGCCGGTGAGGCATTGCTGGTCGTGGTTGGCCTCTTCCCTGAGTGGAGCGGGCTTCTGTGAAAATGATTTGTTCTTTTCTACGAGCTGTGCAGTATACGGAGAAGCTGCACAGGTCGTCAGGGAAGTGCCTGTTTTTGCCACGCTTTGTACTTACCAAAGCTTGCTTGAAGACCGAACCCAGATGGAGATGGGGGCTGCACGAGCGGAAAACGGTGCGGCCCGGATGGACCCTCGGAGTCCCCCGGAGGACCGTCTGGACGCAGGGACGGGGCCTCCAGAGAGCAAAGGAGGACGGCAGCAAGCAAGTGTCTGTGCACAGCCAGAGGGCGGAGACCGCCGTCTCGACGGCACAGAAAGGTAAAGGGGAACTCTCCAGTAAAGACCAGCCTTTCAGCAAGTGTGACAAGGACGTGCCCACGTGCTTTTAGAGAAGTGCGAAGTGCGGTGGTAAAGATGATGAGTCCATTCACACAAATTAAAAGGCGGAACCGCTAAACATAGTTTAGCATCAGAGAGTATAGGCCTGCAATGTCCTTCATACATTTCAACTCAAATTTGAAAGCTGAATTATGTCTAGAAATTTTTTCTCAACTTCCACTAGTTTGGGTGTGGAGAGAGCTATGTAAAACTGAGCCATTGTTTAATACTTGAAAGTAGGCAAGTAGATCGCCCTGATGTTATTTCATCCATTTGACTGTCGCGTTCAGTCTGTCAGGCGTTAGTATTCTAAGGCAGGCACACTCCCCCAACTTCACGCTATTGAAAACTAAATGCAAATGCCCCTGATTGCGATTTTCCTGTATCCAGACCAGTGCTGTCTGGGACCTTGCGCAAGGATTTCGTGAACTTCCGTCCTGTCTGTGCCCAGCACTTGAACGGTTGCTAATGGCTGTGCCAAAGAAACCCTAAAGCACAAAGACTCCCACTTGAGTGGGAGGAGGGTGCGGAGTGTGAACCTAGTGGTGGAGAGAGATGAGCGGCGCTACCGAGAAAGGGGACTAGGAGACCCTGATCCGGAGTAGCCGGCTGGAGTAAACAGAAACGAGAAGTTACTGAGTCACAGTCCGTGGGGATTAACTCACCTTAGTTCAACTCAGTAAACACTCAGCTAGAGAGGCTGCTGCCCTGCCCAGTTACTGAGCCACACGGGACACGCCGCAGAGTTGGGGATGTCCGAAATAGCTCTTCCCTTCCCATGAACCAGCAGTAGTAGAAAGATCGTATAAAACAGGAAAGGTGAAATGTCATTTTGTCAGGGAAGGTCAGCAAAGTTTTCACAAGGGACATAAGAAAGCAGTTTGGTTTTCTATGAGTTTTTTCTTCATTTCACAAATAATGTGAAGAAAAAAATAAGTAAAAAGGAAGCAAAGAAAGCAATGCAGACACCCATGATTATATCACACAAAGATGTCTACGTTAATATTTGGTTTCTGTCATTTCTGTGCATGTACTGTTTAACATACTTGAGTTGTTTCATATCAGTTCTTTTTGCAACTGATATCAGCTGAATATGTCAAAAATACAGTGTTTCACTCACATAGCCTAGTTAAAAGTTCAGTGTGAAGGGACAGCCTGTGCACAGAGGTCAGAGGCGCTGAGGTGCCAGGCCATGTGGCTGCGGCAGCAGCACAGGTCACAGCGCAGGCAGGCCTGCCGCAGAGCCCTGTCTGACCTGGACCCCCCCGCTCAAGGTGCATGGTGGGAGCAGGACCCCCCCACGCGGGCACGCTGCCTCCAGAGAGTCCTGAGGGGCCTGCACAGTGGAAGGACGGACGGGATGCAGTAGTTCGTCCTTTACTGGGGTGGGGCCCCGTTCCCACCGTGCACTCCCACGAGTTTCGCAGGTATGTTGACGGCCCCAGATCGTGGTTGGGCTCATCCTCGCACCTGGAGGACATGTGTCTACCCAGGCCTCCCGACACACACACCACCAGCACTGACGCGGTGGCATGTCCTGCAGGACACCCAGAGTGGCGCTGTCCAGACAAAACTCTGTGCACTGGTGGAAGCGTTTGGGGTGCTGACCCTTGCGGGAGCCACTAGCCACCTGTGCCTGCCCAGCACTTGCAATGTTGCTAGTGTGAAGGCACTCAGTTTTCATCTAATTTTAAGAAACTGAGGTTACTTTTTAAATTAAACAGCCACATGTGGCGTGTTGCTGCTGTATTGGACATCCCGGGTCCCGAACGTCCGAGTCACTTAAAACCGTGTCATGACCGGGCGGGACTATACACAGGCACTGTTGTGGCCTTTCATGGTGCTGCAACCCAGTACCGTCGCCCCTTCTCAGTAGAGGCGGAACCCACGCATCAATGTAACGTACTCCCCCGAGTTCCCATTCCTGTGTCAGGGCTGCTGCCTGGGCGAGTGTACGGTGGGCTGCGTCCTCCTCTGGGGTCTATGGGTCTTATGAGAGGAAGACTGGTGGGTGCTGGGAATATGGCGGGCACCACAACCCCTATATCTTAGGTCTCTAAGAGTAGCACTCTCTGCCATCCCTCCTGGATGTGATTTGGGTTAGATGTGTTTTTGGTTGGTTCTGATTCACAGGGACATGTGCAAATGGCTGCCTCATGATGCTGACCCGCTCGTCCAGCCCTGAGTCCACCCCTCCCTGGAAACACTGAAGGTTCCTGCTCGCGTCCAGCACACGGGTGACTCTCTGCTCTTTTCTCTTCGCAGTTAGAGAAGCCGGAAGAGATGTCACCTACTTAATAGTGGTGCTTATTGGAATCACCGTCACAGGTGGGGAGCACAGCAAGTATAAGACCCCAACACCTGTTTCACTTACTCTTTGTCTCACCCCTGCTTTACTCGGTCTCCTTTGTCTCTGACCTTCAGGTAGCTTGTTTTACGTGATTTTCAAAGAACTTTTTTCTTCATCCAGTCCCAGTAAGATATATGGGAAAGCCCTGGAAAAGTGCCGATCGCATCCAGAGGTGAGTGAGTCCTCCAGGTAGAGTCACACCAACCCTGATAATAGAAGACGCTGGGAGTCGAAGTGAGGGAGCAGAACCCACGAGTGGGTTCTGAGCCTATGAAATCTGTGTGAGTGGTTCGTGCTGTTAGGTCTTCCTTCTGTGTCACCACGCCCGAAGAGCACGGAAAGGCCCACGTAGCGTAGACGCCCCACGAGAGGAATGATGCCAGAGTCACCATAGTCATAAATGCTTAGCCTGTACCCGAGTCTTGAACTGCTGCACAGCTCTCAAGTGCCTCTCGTGTTACACATTATCCTTTTTACAGGACTGTTGTTGCGTGCTGTGTCTCATCTTTCTCGAGGAACCCGACCCGTGACCCCGTGTCCCAGGACTGGTTCTCACTGGGAGCGCACAGGAGCCCAGGACTGGGGCTCCTGGCCCCTCAGCACCCCATCCTCATTAAACGCCACAGAAACCACGGGCCAGCTCTGCTCTAGCCCGTTTGCAGAAGGGGAAGCTGACACTTAAAGGAAATAAATATGAGCAGCTTAATTAAATGTTGGGAGGCCTCTCCAGAGAGGTGGCGACTGACCGCGTCATTCACAGACTCAGCCTTCCTAGAGCTCCCGGCCTTCGAACAAAGCAGAAGGTGCAGAAGGAACAGAGTGGAGTTCATACAAAAGGCATAACGTAATTTGCTGCCCGTAAGAGGTCTACACAGAACAGTTAACATTTCGTTTTGCCCGCCTGTGTCCAGGTCCTGTTCTTTGCGGGACGCTGCTCCTGGTTGAAAAGTGGAAGACCCTTATGTGGCGATACAGTGTGCACAGTCCTTGCGGCAGTTTGAACAGTTGGTCCACTTGCTCAGCCCACAGCTCTTGCCCTCCCCCACTGGCCGCTGCTTTCTGTGCGCGTGCGCGCCTGGCGAGCACGGTGCTGCCAAAGCCAGCGCAGGATGAGGACAGTTTTGATTTGTTAGCAGTTTTTTAGAGGTGCCAAGGTGTTTGCGTTTTAAATTCAATAAAAATTACATTTCCGTTGCATTGTGAACTTTCCCGTTGGGAATCATCGATTCACATCTGTAGATCTGGTTTAAGTAGGTCATTATCACTTGGGTGTTCATTTTCACTGTGTTTCATGACTTAAAAAATCAGTTTGTCTCTTAACTGGTAGTATTAGACCCCATCAGATAGACTTCACTAAAAATGTCCATGCATTTAAATATTTGCACCCTGGTTTGTCGTGCTTGGCTTTTGTGAGGCGTGGGAACAGCCTCACCTCACCTGCGCCGTTCTGAAACCCCCAGCAGCGCTGTTACCGGGACCGCTCGCGGCACAGGAGCCCTGGTATCTACTAGTTATGGGATGAGTGTTGCATCATAACTTTTCTTTGCTGGAGTTGTCATTTTGAAAGGGCCCTGGGCTTACTGATTTTTTTCCCAAAATAAGTCACTTGGTTTGTCAGAGAATACTTTCCCAAGAAACTTACAGACAACAGGCACCAACTGAAGTGTTGTCTTTATTCCGCAGGTAATAAGTGTCTTTGGTGAGCCCGTTAAAGGCCACGGGGAGACGACCGGACGGGGTCGGAGGCAGCACGTCAGGTACAGCGCTGGGCTTGAGCGTGGGAGGCTCATTTCTGAATGAGAGGCATTTAGGCCTGTGTTCTGTTTTCTCGGCAGTTTTATTGAATATGTAAAAGATGGGCTGAAACACATACGTGTGAAGTTCTACATCCGGGGCTCGGAGCCTGGAAAGCAAGGAACGGTGCACCTGGAAGTGAAGGAGGTGCGTGGGCGGGTGGGGGGAGCCCGTTCCGGGTGCGCGGCTGTAGACCGCACTGGACGGAAAAAATGACCCGTGAAATACTCTTTTTTTCAGAACCCAGAAAGTGGTGAATATGAATTTCGATACATATTTGTGGAACTTGAAGCCTATCCCAAAAGAACTATCATCATCGAAGACAACCGGTCCTGAGATCTCGAAGAGCCTCGGCGCGCTGCATTTCCAGACGCGAGCTGTGCAGACGCAGCCCGGTCTGCGCTCTCCCCCCGCCCCGGAGCCAATCCAGGGAGGCAGGAAGGAGGCTGTCTCGGAAACGTGGATGGAGCCGGGCGGTTGTTGCATTTAGACAGCGGAATTAGAGATTCTCCTGCAGAGGGAAAAATCATGAAATAGAGCATATTTTAGGTGACCCCGGGCAGGATGTCTGCTCTCCTGAACATCATCTTTCATAAGAAGTATTCATTAAAAAATCTACATCATGTGAATAAGAAAATAGTTCAGTATTTTATGCCTTTTTAATGGTTTATAGCTACATAAAAATCTGTGGAATAAAACTAACACTAACGTCAGAAGCAGCTTCCTCCCAAGTCCTTTGGTATCTGACTTGAGCATTTGACAATAACACGAGAGCTGTAGGGACCAGGTGCTACCTACACACTCGCCAAACGACCACAGAGAGGGCGTGACGCTGCATGAGCTGTAATCCGGGCTGTCTCACCTGTCTCCTCCCTGAATCGGGGGCACCGGACACCATGGGAACGTGAACTCGCTGAAGTCCGGTGGGCCTGCCCAGGTTCCCACCAGGCAAGTGGGCCTGGGCAGTACCTTCACCTCGTCCAGCCTCGCGGGCATGGCTTGTTAGGACCGCTGAATGAGGTGACAGGCAAGAGTGCCCGGACCACAGAAGGTCCCCTGGCATGTCCCAGTCCTTCAGAGCGCGCCCTGTGGCATCACTGCCAGAGCAGCGTGGGCGTGAGGGCGAACCGCCAAGCACCCAAAGGCCTTTGTGGCTACGCACACCCGTTTTATCTGAAGGACCTACAGGGCACGTGGGGAAGTGGCCTCCACGCACAGGGGTGCGGTCTCATATCCGTCTGAAGGCCCACAGGTGCTGGGACTGGTCCCAAACTGCCCTTGCCCGCAGCAGCTTCGGTGTCCAGGGGGCCCTGCAGTGCTTTTCCTTCTCCCTCAGAACTCCAGTGGGCACGTGAAACAGCTGCCGGGGACACAGTCTTCGGTGACCCCCCTGCTTAATTCTGCTCATACTTCAGTGTACCGGCTTGTTTTTAAATGTTTTTTCATTTTAATTATGAAAAACCCCAAACATTTACTATATACAGAAGAGATCAGAGCAGACACCCGTCTCTCTGATGTAACGTGTTCTGAGTGGCTGGGCGATTCTGCTTGGACTTGTCTCTAACTGGGTGCTCCTCCCCTTCCCGGTAGGAGGTCCCCATTCAGTACCCTGCTCCCTGACTGGTCCTCCTGTACTGTGTCCTACAAACCATTCAAACCATCGCGTCACCGAAACCTGGCCTCGGAGCTGCTGGGGACTTTTGAGCCTTCCTGCTGGCCCTGTGTTTGTGGTTTAGGGATGATTTCTTCCCTATATTCATCTCTCTGTGCTCTCCTATCATTATGTGCCAGGCCCCTTTAAGATAAGAGCTTATCATTAAGTTACTTTCACAAAACTTTTTTCAAAAGAAAAATTGTGTACTCAGGTTCTGAGTTAACCATGGGAAGATGTAATGCAGTTCTTTTCAGATAGCTTTTTTTATTGTACCCTAGGATATAATTTGATACAGCATGTTAAAATTCCTGCTTTTGAAAGAGCTGCTTTAATCAGCTTTGGCATCTGATTTTGATTCAGGCATCTGTCCGTGGCCTGCTCCCATCTTCAACATCTTTTCTGAAACTGACCGTGTGCAGTGTCCGAGGCTGTCGTTTGTATGAAAGAGAAAATAACGCGATCATTTTCTGGCAAAGCTTTTGTTATTCCTTCACCCCCCGTCAGCAAACCCCTCATCAGAAGTCAGTCTGGATGTGAGCTCCGTCTCCGTAATGAGGACACTGGGCCAGACGAGGGTGCGTCCGAGGGGCTGCTTTCAGCGGTGAGATTTCCAGCCCACCTCCCTCCCTCCACAGCTGTGATGGGTGCTGGTAGCTGTTTCCTCCCATTCAGTAAACGGCAAGGACATGAATTGCTTCCCTCATTCTCCTCCAAATATGGTTGCCCAAGTCCTCGTTTATGGATCTTAGCATCGTGCTTACTACGCCACTCTGTAATGCACTCAGTATTAAATACGAATGCAGTACTCATGCGTCATCTGCTAGATTTCATTCATTCGACAAGTAGTATTAAGGACACTCTGAATGTCTAGCCTGGTGCTCGGTGCAGAGGGCCCTGAAACAGCAGCAACCCCTGTCCTTGATGTTGGTGAAACCGTAGGTGGTCGCTCCAGCCGCCTGACCTGGTACAAGCCAAAGGCAGTCGGGTCAGAGCAGAGGTGCCATTGGTGAGGTGGGTGGGTGGGGAGGGGTCACCAGGCCGCAGTCGGAGGAGAGGACGCTCAGCTAAGGGAGGGGCATGAGTGCAGCAGGTGCAGAAGCACCCGCCAGCCCGAGCTCCTGGTGCAGTGCACGGTGGAGGGGGCAGTGCCACTTTGGTGCCCAAGGGGAGCCATGCAGACCCGGCCTCACCAAGGACCTGCTGTGGGGGGCAGGCTGGGACCTGCTGGGTGCCCAACTTGGCTTTACCTGGAAAAGCTGAAACCACAGCTCCTTACCCAGGGAAGCGCCTTACCCAGGACTTCCAACCTTAGGTGTTTACCGAACAAGAACCTGCACGCACACCCCGGGAGCCAAGTACAAGAAATAGGAGAGCAAAAACCGGTGAGTTAGGGCGAAGATTAATTTAAAAATCCTGTGGAATACAATTCCAGTCAGCATGTGCTACAGTCTCGATGGTTGTCCCAAATTCACCTGTTGAAATCCCCACCCCCAGGGGATGGTGTTGGACGGCGGGGCCTTTGGGAGCTGACGAGGTCATGCAGGTGCAGTGCGTCTTTGTGAAAGGGACGTCACAGACACGCGGCTTCTCGCCCTTCCACGAGGAAGGACACAGCAAGTGCTGCACGGCCAGAAGAGGCTGGCGCCCCGAGCTCAGGTGTCCACAGCCCCCAACAGGAGGGACGGAGCTCCGTTCTCTGCCACCAGGCCCGTGGCGAGGATTTTGTTCGAGCAGCCAGGGCAGGTTGAGACCGCACAGAGCCGTGCGAGTCAAGGACGAGGAGTCACAGTTCGGGGCCCAGCAGGGACCACCTGCCTGGTGACAACTCGAGGGAAGGGGAGCCAAGGACAGCCACAGGGGTCCTCACAGAGGAGTCCCACAAGCACTTGGAGCTAAAAAGGCAAATTGCAACACAATCTGTGTGTTTTTACACCCTTTAAGTAAAGCCCAGAAATGTGCAAAGGTGAAAAACAAGATCGAGAGACACACTCGCGTGGCAGACTCTCTAAAAGAGGCCCACTCTGTGGAGAACGGCGCTCAGGGCGGGCGGGGGGGGGGCACGGCAGGAGGTGGGCTTCCTGGGGGTGGCCGCCGGGAAGCCCCTCAGCCGGGTGCTGGCTGTTCACTCCGTCACTGTACTTGACATCTCACTACATGTACACAGGCGGGTTCACCCCAAAGGTAATGACCAAAGGTCAGGGTCCCTCACTTTCCCAGACCCCAGAGGACAGCACTGAACTTTATATTCATAACTTTCTATTCCCTGTCTTGCAGAAGACCAAAAACTCTCTGAGCCTCAGGGTCCTCGAGTTTGAGCCCACCCCTGACACAGTGACAACTTCCGTACACACCAGGTACCCTTGCGTTTCAGCGTGGGAAACCCTACCAGGTTTGGGCTCCGGCCGGAGCGTGTCCGTCAGCCTCACAGTCTTGGGTGGTGGTCACCGCGTAACCCTGGAAAACACGACGTGAAAACACCAGTTTTCTTCTGCACTGTGATAGCCTCACATTTGTTTCTCTCACTGATGTTCTTTCTATATCCCAAGTTATATCTAATTTTACCATATTGGCTACACATTTTTTCTCTTTCCTCCTTAAATTAGTTTCGGATCCATGTCCCACAGCCCCGCCCTCCCTGTGGTAGGTGCTCCTAGCCGCCGTCAGCCAGGACGTTAGAGTCAGCTCCTAGGTCACGTTTCTGCCCCCCACGCCCTTCCTCCCCAACACACCTTTCCCTCCTCACTGCATATGGGTTACTTTCTAACACTCAGACCTGATGTGCTCAGCTCCCACCCAGAGCCTTCAGTGACTCCCAGCTGTCCTGAAAAAATCCCATCAAATTAAAAAAAATGTGGAAAATTTCCCATCAGCAGAGCTCCAGTTATGAGGTCAGTTTGCAGGGCTCTGCCTCAGTTTCCCCTCCCCAACCACACCCCGGAACCCCTGGACAAGCTCAGAGTCCATGAGTGCATGCCTTTGTATCCTCAGGTTCAAAAGTCCCCCCAATAGGCTGTCAAGACTGCTGTGTGTGTTTTGCTCCTGAGCACTCGGCTCCTTGGAGTTTTCTCAGTACTCACAGTAGGCCCATTGCATGGTCCCTTCTCACCGAGTCAGGTGTGGAAAAGCCACGTTTTCCTCAGGCACGAGTTCTCCTTCCCTCGAGGGCATTGCCAAAAGCCATCCACAGAGTTCCATGAAATTCCACATAAAAACTGGGGCCACGAGCACTTTTTATGGCCCCTAATTATGGACAGTGCATTTACAGTGCCCAAGAAGATACAAAAGGGGAAGTAAAGAGAGTAGGCTACAACAGACAAGGTACTACCAAAAAAATCTGAACTTTCACAGAGCTGTCTTTTTCCCCCTGAAACTCAGACAAGCACAGGTACTATCCCGCAGTCACGATGTTCTCATGCGGCTGACGGGACGTTAGGAGTTTTGTTAGAAATCAGCACCGGGATTCCAAGGTCCGTGAGGATTGCCGTCACCCATCTGTACAAGGGGAACCAGCAGTGGATTTCTCGAGTTCAAAAAAACTAACTCAGGTCTTTGCTCCCCTCGACACCATCCAGCGATGTTCCCATGAAGGCCTCATGATGGGTGGGCCGGTTCTGCTCCCCTGCCATGGACTCCGGAAACCCGCTCTGCTCTTTATGGAAACGATGCCATTTCGAGGTTACATTTGTAGGAACCGAACAGTACATTACAAGTCACAGGAGACCAGCCTGCAGATCTCCGGGCGTATTTGCAGAACGAGAAGGAAGAGTGATTTGTTTGATGTGCTTAAAGGGTTTTAGTTTATTAGATTCTGTCGTCCTGGTCAACATAATTTATGTGGCAAAAAAAGATGTAAATCTTTAGCTCAGAGCATTTTTACTGTGCCAATCAAACACCTTGTTTGAAATTACATTCAGCAGAGTTATTTGGAAAAGCATTAAAGCTATTTCATGTGTTCGTTTTAAAACCTTGCCACGGAGTTCAGCTATTGCATATGTGAAAGCCGTGGTCTGGAATTACCACCGGAAGGGGACCGGTCTCCTCGTGCTGGGGAACCTGTCCTCACGCCCCGCACTCTGCACACAGCCCGGCGTCCTCCGCCACTGTGACTGCAGCCGCAGGAGGCCCTCTCTGTGGCGTTGGCCCTGTGAGAGGACATCCAATGCACCAGCAGTGGGGGAGGCGAGATAGTAATTCCTCGGGGGTTGGGGGTGAGCTCCCCATACCCCGGGGGAAGCTTCTGACCTCGGACCCGCCCCAGGAGCACCTCTATGTGGCTCTCCTTCCTGGGCAGCCGGCTGCACAGACCCTGCAGGGATCAATGATCAGGTGACCTACATGTCCACGTGTTAGGGAAACAAGTCTTCTGAGAAATCCTGACAGAGCTGTAAAAACCAAAATGGGCTCCAACTATGATTCGAACATTATCAAATTGACTCTGGTCATGTAGTTAGGGAGGGAATCAGCTTTGGAGCCAGACGAAGCCAGGAATGATGTCCTTGTTCTGCCACTGACCTGGCTGAGCGACCTGGGTAATTCCACTTAACCTCTCTGAGCCTCAATCAGTATGAAGGTGACACGGGACCGAGAAGGGTGAGGGTCAGAGGGGAACGTGCGTGTCCAGCTGACATGAGTCTGGGATGCAGACGGCTCATAACGGACTCTGCAATGACCTGCTCTATCGACTTGCCTTTGCTCAAACATTCCCACTGACTAAATGCCACAGTGTCCCACACGGTGGAAATGTTTGACTGCACAACTTCAGTGCTGTTTTCCAGGCCCATCTAATGCACATCACCCAGGTACGCAGAGTAAAAGTGCGGTGCGTTGTATGCACATTATAACCCGCCCCACAAGTGCCTGAGCCAGTTTCCAATCAGCCCAAGCCCCACTGGAACGAGCCAGGGTTCTCTGTGAAAGGGGTGACTCCGGGCAGCAAGGTCCCAGGCTGGCCTAGAACATCTCCCACTGAAACACAAGAAAGCACTCAAAGAATGATGGGGGCATCCCAGAAGGACAAGGTGGCCATCCTGCAGGGGCTCCCACCGGCCAAATCTTGGACGATTTGCACATCACAATGAATGTCAGTAAAGTACAACCCACTGAATAAAACAGGGAGCCCATACAGATGGAAATAAGGAAGTCGGAAGTTTCACAATGAATGGGATCCTTACTTCTGTGAGGTTCCGGCTGCAGAGGCATGATACTAGACACTCCCAAATCCAAGACATTCTGCTAAATAACTGGCTGGTGATGTTCGAAAGTATCATGGCCATAAAAGTCCATGAAAAATCCCTGAGACACTGTGCAAGACTGAAATAAACTAAGCAGACAACACAGCCAAACATAACACGTGATCCTGAACTGTCTCAATGTAACAGGTGATGTTGGCACAACAGAAAGACACAAAAGGAGCCTGGGGATTACTAGACGGTAGTGATGAGCCAGGGTTCGTTTTCCAAGTCTGGAGGCTGTGCTGCGGCTGTGGACTGTGTTGTGTGGGGCCCATAGCTGGCTCGGGCTGCCTTAACAAAGCGCCACAGACGGCATGGCCTAAACAACAAAAGTTTAATTTCTCATAGTTCTTGAGGCTGGACGTTCGAGATCAAGGTGAGGGCAGTGTTGGTTTCTTCTAGACCCTCTCTCCTTGGCTTGTAGATGCCCATGTTCGCCCTGTGTCCTCACTTGGTCCTCCCAGTGCGCGTCTGCATTCCGATCTGTTCTTATATGGACACCAGTCATAACAGATTAGTGCCCCACAGATGACCTCATTTCAACTTCA